TGATAATGATTGAATACAATAAAAAATAGTAGTTTTTTAGTTTAGTTATTTTTAATATGAAATAGGGATAAAGGTTAGGAAGTGTAAAATGGTTTCAAATTCTTGGGTGGCATTAGTTATAGATAGAAGGATGAACTTAGCATAATAATGCTTATCTATGTACTTCATCATAACAAGCTGTTAAAATGGATAAAAGAGAAGAAGTAATTTAGTGAGTACTTCGATTTACCATTTTTAACTATAACAAATTCAAAAAAGGCAAATCTTTAAGAATTTCACCAGATAAAAGAAGTTTGAAGAAAATTTGATTTGTTTATAGTAATAAATATGATAAAGAACAATAATTAGAAGTTGAGTAGGATAATTGCAAATATGAAAAGATAAATTAGAAATCAATAATAGATGGATTCTTAATAATTAAAATTCAAGAAATTTAACTGATGATTATTAAAGAGGAATTAGATATTTCAAATTCTAAATTTATTTAATTCTGTATTATAAATGCATTATTTGATTTAAATAATAATAATAAACAATAATAATTAAAACGTTTTTCTTACATACCATAAACAGGTATTTTTTGGTTGAAACTTATTTAAAGAACATGAAACGCAAATTCCAGTTGTTTTCAAAGTGTTACTCCAATGATAAGTACCACCAGATGTTTTATAACAATCTTAAAATGATATTTCAATGATTTAAGTAGCTGTGATACAAGAATTAGTAGTAGTGTTTCAAACAAAAATTTAAATGTTGGATTTGCTGATATTCTAAAAAATATATGTACATGAATCTTAAGTTGAATGTGAAGAACAAAAAAGTTAGGAGCGATTACCAGAACTTGCATTCCATACACATATTTTATAATTGATTTAGAAGTACTATTTCAAATAAAAACACTCACTAATAGTTTCTAATTGAGTACAATTTGTTAATACTTAATAAGATTATTTTAATACATACAATATCCCTCTTATCCAATGCTGTTAACACAAAATTATATAAATTTTTTGCTTTAACAAGTTTAATAATTTGTTCTATCTTAGCAAATTCCATCTATAGAAACTGGACAAAGTGTTGTTTACAATAGAAATTTGAAAGAATTACCTCATTTTAGTCTTGTGCAAAATTATTACATTTATAGTTCAGGAATATTATTACAATAT